TATATATATATATATATTATAATAAATCTAACTAATCTAAATAATTACATGATATCATGAATATCAACTAATTATATGTATCATAAGAGTGCATTTCAACATGGAAAGAACAATTTTGCTGAAGTATTTAAAAATTTAGATAGATACAATTCTGAACATAATTTTGTAAAATAGTTATGTGAGAATTCAAGCATAATGTGCAATGCTGCAAAAAAAGTTTGACATTCTGTAACCACTTTGAGCGTCGTACATAATTATTTTGACAATCCAATAAAATAAATTTTTCTTTACGTGAAATAAAATATTTTCTCAACTATATTTTGCATAACTTTGCATAAAATATTGAATTAGAAATCCACGTATTTAGTTGAAATTTATTAAATATTTATTTATTATAAAATTTGATTTTCAAAGAATCTTTTACTCTTTCAGACGGAGCTGCGGGGACAGTTGAACGACGCGGAAGTGTCACAAAGTTCCGCGGAAAATCTTGAGCGATCGAGTGAGCCTCCTGCAGGCAAATGGAGGAGCAACGGCGAGGCTCTCGAGCCAAAGTGGCGTGACGGCGACTCCGTGCCTCTGCTACCGTTTTCTCATTACCGGTCTTACACGAGGGACGAGGTCGAGGATGGTGAACAAGAGGCTTTACTGGCGACGAGTCGCCGACCGTTCAAGTATCATTACGCGATCGATCAACCGGATCGTCCTCGAGGGGGCAGACGATTACCACCTCCGGACGACTATAACCATGATGTCTCATATCAAAGTCGGGACTATGAGAATCCCGATGAGAATTATCCGCGCAAGAGACGTCGTCCATTGAAGAATTTACAGAGTCCAACGTTCTACGAGGAAACAATCGACAGTGCAGCAAGCAACGACGGAAAACGCGGTCGTAACATCCTTGATAGTTCATTGAACGACCGGGAAGTTACCTGGAGATATCGCGAAGCTTTCCAGGCTCGTCCCAATGAGTACGAACATGAATTCAGCGACGAGGAGTACTTAAGACCTCGCCCAAGAAAGAGACGACCACCGCAGAATTATGAGTTCGCTCTGGCGAACGAGGCCTCTTCCAACGACAGGAATGAAGAATTGAAAAATTTCCCTCAATATTTATCTAAGGGTGACGAGAATCTTTCGATGGAATCGTCAAACAAAAAACGAGAGAACGCGCTCGAGCTGAAGTCACTTCTGAAGATGCAGCAGGAGGAGGGCTCGAGTCTGTCGGAGATACTTCAGCGCAGAAATCTGACTCTGAACGATCTTCTAAAGGGAAAAACTGACGTGATTAACGCTCTAAAGTCAAGGATCGCCGATGAATCCGACGAATATATCGAGGAAATGTCAAGGGTAATGTCCGACTCGTTGATGAAGCTCGCCGCGACGGTGACACCACCTTGGGTGTCTACGCAACCATCCATGTTTGAAAATATCACGATAAAAATTACAACAACCTCAGATACAATTTCGGACAGCTCCCAGATGACGAACGTCACGGATAAAGTCTCGAAGAGACTCGAGATTTCCACAAACAGCACAAATAGTGTTAAAGAATCGGAAGACGCTGAGAAGATGACGCGATCCGCGCACGATGCCTCCTGGTTGAGAGCTCCGACGACTCCCTTGACGCTCTCGACGGTGATTACCACGTCGACGTTGCCGCCAATCGCAATAAACTCAGCGGAGTATTTTCTGAACGACGAAAGCAATGCGGAATCGACGAACGATCACGTGACGAGGCTTGAGAGCCTCGACGAGGACGAGATCATGGAATTCTCGGACTTCACGGATTTCAAGAAGGGGAAAAGTTCGGGTCCGCCGAGCGAGAGGATCATCTCGCAGCAAGCGCCTCTCGATACCGAGTCCACTTTGAGCATCGAACAGATTCTCAATCCCACGGAGCGAACCAAGCGGGTGGAAGATCGTGAGAACGATCAGGATGACGACATCAACAATAATAATGAGAGAAAAATGATTCGTGATAACGGTCAATCAGTTCCTATCGGCGTGCCCACCGCGGAGGATTACAAAACATTTATCGAAGCCGAGTATCAGAGTGATGCTTCGGATCCTGAAGACAACGGAAAACAAAATAAAGATCGCTCAAGTGAAATTGATGCTGTTGTGAGTCAGGTCGAGAAGAAACAAACAGCTGATGATAGAAAGGAGCTTCGTGACAAGAATCACTCAGCTGATTATCATCAGGTGACTCGATTGCCGGGAGAGAGAACTCGCACGTTGGGAAACCATCGAGATACCAAACGCTACGAGGAAGTCATCTCCGAGATCGAACCGGAGGCACGAGCGGAGATCTTCGAACTGTTTGCGTCCGGCTCGGCCGGCAAGCGACTAGAACGTCTTCTCAAATCGCGGAATATGAGTGTGGAGGAGCTGATAGCTTTACGTCAAAGGGGCTCTAGCAAGGTCCACTTGACGGAAGTATCGAAACTGAGAATGTCCAAGCCTAAAAATCATCAAACTTTGGAAACCTCCAACAGAAATAACGGAGAAATTATCATATCACTCTCGCCCACAAGCAACTCTACCGAACATTTCGATGAAAGTGATATCACCGAAAGAAGAGACGCGAAGCAAGAAATGGAAGAGACGATGAATCGATTTAAAGACATCATGAGCTACTTACACGATCCGTTCTTCAATAAAGACGTGGAGAACATGTCGATGTCAAGGTTGTTGGATCTCGTCGAGCGCGATAGAAACACGTCAAGGGAAATGATGTACCCAGGAAATGATACGCTAAATGCTGAACAACTGGAGAATTCCCGCCGAACGATGCAAATTGTCGATTTACTGACAACGTTTGATTCTCTGCCTTTCGCAAAGGATGTGCAGCAGCAGTTCGAGACTGAAATCAATAACAATGAACACGAACTAAAAGTGAAGCTTGCGGTAGACAACAATAATGCGAGTGGTGACAACAATAATGTAGTGGTGATGGATGAGACAGAGAAAATTCTTCGATCGAATGACTCCAGTGAATTCCATGCCGGATATGTCGAAGAAATTGTAAAAGAGGAACCGAACATTATTGATATAAAAACAGTGTATGACGAAACGTTGAGCAGCACGAACGGCGAAGAAGACAAGAAGATCCTGTCGAAGGTGAAGCCAAGCATAATAGCAAGCGGTGCGATACTGGGCGTGACGATCGTCGTGTTCATGGCGATTTTCATCGTATGCCGGATTCGGCAGAAGCAGAAGTACACATACAGAAACACGTTCTCTCGTGCAGTCTTTCAGGGCCCGGTTATGGCAGCGAGAAAGCTGTCGAATTCCAGCAGTTTGAGCGCCGTGATGGTGAACGTCGTTGCCACTTCGACGACTAAGAGGCCCGAAAGAACGGAGACGCAAGAGTCTGCGGAGGATTTTGACAGCAAGAGCGATATGGATAATGATTCATTAGATGCAAACGATAGTTGGGAGACGATACCCGATTATGCTAAGTAACTCGTCGCCGACTTAATTGCACGATTAGCATATTAGTTTGGCGTAAAAGATTCGTATATATCTCAATTTTTTTTATTAAATAAAACAAAGTATTATAATTTTTAATCGTGCTATTTTTACAATAATATTTATTTTGAAGGAAATTATTAGAAGGATTTTAATATTGTTTTTTCATCTAAAAAATATTTAAATTTTATTTTCAAAACATCCGTTATTTAAAACAAAAGATTATAATAGAAACACATATAAACTTTTTGCGCCAATCTAATAGAAAATTGCCAGTATTTCTGCATACTTATCAAGAACGAATTATACCCTGAAGGCTGAATCCTTAGCAAGAAGAATTACATCAATTGTCAAGTTACTCATCACGTTATTTTACCGAGAAATAAATCAATTCCCTAAATGTATATATGTGCTTTTTTAAATTACGATCGATACAAAAGAGTTGCAATTAAAATACGGCCAATACAAAAAAATTGTAATTAAAATATACAATAAAATTATTTTCTAAATAGGATTTTTTAAATGCAAATGATTGTTATTATCATAAAATTGCTAAACTATTTTGCTAAACTTCCACGTATAGAAACTAAGACGTATTTATTTATAGGTTTATATATAAATATGTGTTGTAAAAGTTAATTTTATATATAAAATTATAAATTACATTCAATTAATTTGATGATTACCCATCCTTATTTAAAATTAATTATAACTTATTTTATTCTAATTACTCACCAATATCTTTCGTAAGTAAAAACGTTTCTAAGTATTGCTGAGACGGCGTTGTTTGTATTTTGAAATATTTTGTTAAAGTAGGAATATTGCCTCGCGATGTTTCGACATTGTTTCAATGCAGCTTCTAAGTAAAAAAATAAAGAATAAATCTAATATAAAAATTAAAAGCTATAAAAATTGCAATACAAATATACTACATAAAAATTAAAATATAAATTTAGTTACTATTATTATGAGATTAAAATTATCTTTTGTATTATCAAGCATACGATGTATGGATATATATAAAAATGCATCTTTTGGATAAAACAAGTGTGAAATAAGATTTGTAAAAATAATTGTTTATGTACCTAACGTAGGACTGCCTTTCAGCTCAATCATATCATTAGTCTTCATGTATAAAACTGTATTATAACTGCTTGGAAGCATATCTAAGTAAGGCTTCCACTTGGAATTCTCCTTGTATCTCTCTATGAGAAGCGCTATGGCCAAAGCCACTTGTGGCATATGCTGCACCAGTGGATCATTTTGTAAAATAGTCAATTCTGATGCTGCGGTATATGTGCTGAAGATGAGTGCCCTAGGTATTTCCAGGATCAATTGGTTCTCAGCAAAGTCGGTCTCCGCCTTCAATCCTAGATCATATCCTGGAAATTCGGCGATACTCAAACCATCCACTTGCGCCCCATTCTCCGTCAGCCAATTTATGAATTGTCCAATCCCCTGGGATCGCTGAGATGATTCCGTCTTCATCTCCTCCAGACGTTTAACCTTCAGCAGAACTTCTGATATATCCAAGTAGTTGTTCCATGATTGCGTCACGTACGCTGGGTTACTACTTACTGTAAACATACCAAAATGGCATGTAAAAACAAATAACTCAACAATGTATAGCAGCAGAATAGATTCAAAATTCCAAGCAGAATATGTAATATATATATATATATAAAATCCTTGACATATTCATTCTATCTCTTCCCTAATTTTAGGCTCTATGGGTGCTTTCCAACATGAGACACAAATGACATGTTAAACAAAGATGAAGTGATCACTGTGTTCTGTGAACACTATGATTCTTGCTGGAAAGCACCACTTATTCATTCATTTATTACCAAACATCATAGTTAGAAGGATATAAAATCTTTTTCGTGAAAAACAGAGCTTTTTGTCCAACGTGGTGAAGGATGTCGAGAGAGAATTTGATGTACGGAAGTACTCACGATGAAAGAGTTTCTCGCACAGGACATTAAGCTCGTTCCTTTTCGCCGCAGATATATGCCTCTGTTGCGGTGATGGACCCTGTTGTTTACCCCTGGATGATGCATGAGCCTTCTTCCTGCCCATTTTTGTCTACTATCTCACAGCGCTCTCGTAGCTCCTCTTCGCATTCAGATGCATTATAAGTGCGTAACGCGCGGCGCCTACGACAACCAGCGAGAATAAACAGTTTTCGCCGCAACGAAAATAGCACGTACGGGCAGCCTGCGTGCGACGCGAGTGTTGGTGTCGCAATATATGCGCGACATAACCTCCAAACAGCACGATCCCCGCGTGCCGCGGTTCACCGCTGACCGCGCCGCACACTTTATTGATTTTCCAATTTCTACCAAGGGTCACCTACTTTCGCGGTTACTTACTTCCCGGCTGGATCACTCATCATCCTCGATCATCTGTGTTCCGAATTACACAATCAAGATATACTATGAAATACATGTGCCAAATACAACAATAAACTTGATAAAAATTATTATTTATTAATCACGCAATTTTTTATTATTTTCCTTTACCATCCATACTTTACTTTAGTATGTTCAAACAGAATTAGGTTATCAATATGAATATCTAAATAAAAACGGAACTGTATATTTTCTGAAGAAATCGCATTACCGAATTGAATTTCTTTTTATATGTGTATGTGTTATATAATATGTGTTTTATATAATATGTTCCTTGTACATGTGTAAATTATATAATAAATATACACCACATACATATTTATAATCCTCACTGTGTATACGGAGATCATTATTGTGTCCAAGCGATTTTTAAAATTATGAATATTTTGAAAACAAGTGAATATATAGGCGTCGTTCTGTTCTTGTGGAATGGAAAAAGATGCCTACGAAAGTCCGAAAAAACCTTGTGGAGTGGAGAAAGATGCCTATAAAAGCCCGGCAGTGAACATCATTTTCTTGCTGAGCAGTGGATATTCAAAATCGAGCGCGAACACAATTTAAATGAACCCCGTATACACTCAATGCATATTTGTTGTACAAATAAGAAAATGATTTTTTTTCATGTTTTTTGACTATTTTTATAAGTAAAACACACACACACATATTAACAAAAAAATTTTTATTCGGTATTATCTAAGAATAAAAAAGGCAAATCGCTCTGCAAAAGAGATGTTATAATTTCTTCACTGTCTATCACAACTAATGTCATCTCGTATGTATTTGTTTATTCACGAAAATGTATAACATTACAAATTTTGAATAAAAAAAGGAAATTTTTAAAATTAAATGTCAATTTTTCGTAGAAGCGTTAATTTTTATAAGTTTCGAAATTGTAAGATTTTATGTCCCGAACTTAAGCATTTAAATTTAAAAAATTTATTGGCATATATTTTTATATTAAAATATGAGTTTTGATTTTTTATTTTCCTTTTTTAATTATTAAATTTCATTGATTTGATCAAAAATTACAAATTTTTGAACGTACCACTACTATACTCACATTTGTATTTACAAAAATAAAAAAAAAATTGTTTTTGCAAAAATAAAATATTTAAACAAATAGATTTGTGTTAAATTATTTATAAATCTTTCATTGAAGAAGATCTATATGAATTTTTTAAATATTTTTTGAATACTTAATCCATTAAATAAATATATACCGGACATGAATGATCCCCGTATACACTTATCCAGATAGACAAAAAGATATCTTTTAGATTTCTGAAAAATTCTCATGTCTTGCGATATTTTGCATTTTTTACGAAAAGATATCTCTTAGAGATCTTAAATGTCTTACACAACAGTTTAAAGACATCTTTTAGTTTGCGCCATAAACAGCAACTTTTAATTAATAGACTTAACATTGACATGCTGTTATTATTTGTTTTCTAAATATGGAAACAATCGTCATGCTGTCTTTTTGGTACAAGAAAAATATAATTTATTTTGAAAACATTTCATTTATTTAGGACGAATACAAAAGAAAACTAAGATTAAAAACAGGCTGACGGAGAGTACAAACTGATATTACAAGAATAATACTTAAACCGAAAGGAATTTCCAATAATACATGATAAATAATAATGATCGTCATTAATATATAGGTAAGTGAATAAAATGAATTATACAAGAGTCAGCTTAGTTTGCTTGTATGTATAACCTAAAGCCACGTATACATCCAGCGAACGAACATCAAATGCGAATGTTTGAACATTTGTGTTTGTGAGCAATTTATACTTTTTCTTAATTGTATCGAATATTAACCCTAGTATGATATTATTATTTTTGGTCATCTTCCTTATAACACCAGGGTTTGTGAAACCCTGCAACTTTGTTACGCTATATCTCTGGCTGAATACATATTTTTTAGCTTAAAACGTGTGAAATTTACCTCGAAGTCAGACAAAGACAGATAAATATATGATAATCAAATAAATATTTATCTTCAATTAATTATAATGCTTCAAAGAAATTTTGTTGGAAAAATTTGCAAAAAACGACTACTTTGTAAAAAAATTTTCAAATTTTTAAATTTAATGTTCAAACAAAAACCCGTAGAATTTTTTTTTAGTTGATCCTTAGGATTAATAAAAAAAATACGATATGAATTGCTCAAAAAAGTATAATTATTTGAACTATTAAAAATCGACATTTTTGAAAAATCTACATATTATAAGTTTACAATTAATAAATAAAATTTTATTATTTGAACAATATAAAAGAATAATATAAGTAGATAAAGAATTGTATAATGTAATTAATATGTGTATAAATATTATTATAGTAATGTATAATTAAGTTTGTTAAGATTTAGATTAGAGGATACTGCAACACTCGTTCTGAAGTAATAAATCCGCCTCGCCCAAGCGATCTCCAAAGACTGACAGAAATTATAAAATTTTTACTATTTATTACATTGAAATCTAATTTTTTTTAGTTCTACATTTTCGTGTACTTACGTTTATACTATCCAAAACTTAGTAATTTTATATTGCATTGAAAACATTTTGATATAATAAGAAAATATAAATAAAGATTTTAAAGTGGTAAAAAGCTGAATGATTGAATTAAAAAGCTTATGGTACTAAAATAATGTCATTGCCTGAACATGTTTTAAAACGTGTGTATTTCATTTTTGCATTTTTGTATTTATGTTTCTTGGTTATAATAATATTCTATTTTTGCATATTTTTCGTGACTATAGGAACATATGATATGTCGAATCGGAGGTTCAACTGGTAAACAATTTGTAAGAAAAATTCTATCAAAGATTATGTGTAATGAAGTAGCTATTCAAATATCATGGGCAGGTCAGAAGAACGGTGTAGGCTTTAAATTCACATCTATATCCAAATTAATAATCGATAATATTTTTAAAAATAATAAAGAATAGTATATTTATTATTAAAGTAATTTATACATTAATATATACGTATATATATAAACATACATTTTATTATTACATATCATTAATATACATACAATTAATATATACATTGATATACATTTAAATGTAATTAAATTTATATATAAATTAGTTTTTCAGTATTAATTTTGTAATCAATAATACAATATCTCTGTAGTAGTCTTATGGTGTTTTCTTCTGAAACGCATTTCCGCAGTGTCACAATAATGGCGGAAATTCATTTAAATCAGGAAAATATATATATATATGATTTTGTTTTTCTTTAATGAGGAAGATTGCATGCAGTGTTCTCATAAGAGTATATATCAGAGAGAGAAAAACCTGAGAGAGAGGACATGACGGCCCAATTTTAAGATACATTTATTTAAAAAAAAAAAAGAAATAAATTTTTCTTAAATTTCCATAAACATTTAACATTTAAAAATTATATAAATGTAAAGACTTAACTATCTTGTTATACAATACATATATAATTTATTAATTTTGAATATCCGTTTAACATAAATTTTCTGCTGCAAAATAAAAGGTGGCGCATTTCTAATATGCTGCTTTTTTTTTATCATAATCAGGATTTGATGAAATAAGTTATTGAATATAATTTCGTTTAATTTTGTATAAAAATTAATTCAGATATCTAATGTTATTAAATTATATGTATCAAAATATCAAAAAGAAGTCATAAAGACAACTAAAAGATGTTTATAGAACTCATCTTTTAATAATTTTTCAGACGACTTTGTGTTCTTTGAACATATAATAGATTTCTTTTATAGATATCATAAATACGAATTCTATATATTAATATATTTTAGATATCATAAAATCATGGAGTTTGAAAAATCTTTTAGGTATCATTTTTGTGATCTTTCTGTTTTCAAAAAAACGGCGCATTAGATAACATTCAGATATCTTTATGTGACCGTTTAAAAATTTCTCTAAGTTATTAGATTCAGAAATAAAATATCTTTTAGAAACCTTTTTGAAAACATATTGTTATGTGAGTATGAATACTTAACGAGTGTACATTCAAACAAAATATACCCAGAGAAATGACAATGAAATCGATGTCGAATCGATGTCGAAAAATTTTTTTTAATTATAGTTATAAAGTCTCTTGAAGTCATTCAATTTTCATTTCTGGAAATTTTTTTCTATCTCTTATAGTTTCGAAGATATTCACTTCGAAAGAAAAAAACCGATTTTTTTCAAGAAAGATTTCCACCCCTTTAAGGGACGAGTCAACCGATATACGCATTTCTCATTTTTAGTAAACAAATTTAGTTAATAGAACAACATAAAAGCTCATTTAAATCGAAAGGGGACCGTTGCTTATGTTCCCTTGTGAGAACTTTTATCACGTAGTCCTGAGGAACGTTTCGTTCAGGAGTTTGATGAGTGGTTGTGTATGTATTACTGACGTTACCAACAAAATGTGTGTGTGTGTGTGTGTGTGTGTGTGTGTGTGTGTGTGTGTGGAGGAAAATTTTCAAACTTATATTACTTTTACCTACAAATAAGGTATTAGTGAAAGTTATTTACATGTACATTAACGCCAAGAGACATTAACAGAAACATTAACGCCAATAGCAAATTCAGCAAATAATCCATAAATTGATCAATCAAATAATTCATGATGTTTCACACACACATTGATAAGGAATAATGCAAACTCCATTTCAGCAGAACAGTAACTATTAATTTGAAATTTCAAATCAATTATAATAAATCAATTATCATGAGGGATTCATATAGCATGCGATACGTTGGCAAGAGCGGTCTCATGCTGCTCGACCTGAGACTCGCTCCTACTCTGATCATACCTCCCCTACTCTGACAACCACTCCGCCACTCTTTCAATACTATGTCCTACTCACGATATAACGTAGAAATATCCAATTCGCGACCATTAATTATTCTCAGCCTAAGAATTCATAACGCATAACGTAATTGGTGACAGCGGAGATAGTAACGAGAATCCTGAGTCAGAAATTTGTAACGCGATAATATCTAAATTTATTACAGGACACACGTAACATAATTGGTGATCAACTGATTTCCT